AGGAAAAAATTCATTCTTCGTATTTAATTCCCAGAATCTAGCATAATGGCTGGCACAGAGTAGCTGCTCAAAAAATGCTTGTTAATTATTGATGGAAGAGGAACTTAAGAAATCCTTTGCACAGGTTGTCCCTCCTGAAATGCACTCCCTTTTTACCTCTGCCTCGATGAATCCCTAGATTCCTTTAAAGCTCAGCTTATACTTAATTTATATTCATATGTGCACACATTGTCCGTCTGACGGAATTATCCTCCTTGATGGTAAGGACTGTTATATTTCTTTTTTATTCCCAGTACCTAGTCTAGAACCTGAGACATAGCACGAACTTAATAAAAGCTTGATTGATCAATTATAAACCCTCCCTTCCTAATTCATCTGTTTTGTAAAGTGGATTTTTTCCTAAAAGGGTTTGCCCTGTTCACATAGACATCTAAGAGTTGGCCCACTAAACACCGGAAAGCCAGCTGGTAGGAAATGAAAAGAAGCAGACAGATGCTAGATAGGTTCCTGCTGAAAGCTATATCCACACAGCAAAAAAGCTCAGTCTCTTACAGCCACTCTGTATTTGCATAGTCAGGATAGCCTTCAACCTCAGAGGATTCAATTTCTCAGAGACAACATCTTAACAACTTTCTCTGTGTGCAGGCGTATGAGGTTGAGGGAAGGAATGCTATCTGGTAAATATGAAGTTCATATGAACTATGCAAAAGAAGGTTTTCTCTTTTGGTAAAGGATTTGCTGCTTCCCTAATGCAATTTTAGTTCACTAGCTAATGGTCCCACACACATGACTTACACTAGGCTGGCAACATGTTTTAGCAAAGCAATATAATATGCAGAAGCTTACCCTCCTTTAGCAAGTCTGTTATATCTGCTTGGTATCTGTTACCCACTCTAATTTCTCCTTTATCAGCCAGAAGAGTCTTCTGCTGTGGATCATAAACTAGAGAATAGAAGAAGAAATCCTAAAACACAAAGATATATAAAAACCAAAAAAGGGTTATCAAGAGTTTTCATTTTTTAGATTAATTAATCAGTAAAAAAAGAAAAACACTGTGGTATAGTGAACAGACATCTATCTACAGGATCAGGAAGATCTCCGTTCAAGTCCTGCCCTGACAAATATTGACTACATGACCCTATACAATTTTCTTCTCCTCTTAGTACCCCACACAACTCTAAAATTAAATTGCAGAATTGTCACTGATCTGCATTTGTAGAGAATTACCTACACTGAAGAAACCACAGATCTATATCAAATAAGCAAAACAAACCCCAAAAGCTACTATTAACTAGTCTAGAAAATTTGGGTATTTTATTGTTATTGCTACTGAAACAAATAGCAATTTTAATGCAATTTAATTTCAGGGAGAAATGAATCATGCAAACCACCTTCACCATAATGTGAAAGACCATATAAAATTTCCTCTGATGTCCCTTCTCATCCTAAATATTGTAATTTTGTGATTCAGTTCAACAAGGATTAAGGAACTTCATGTCTGCCTAACAATGTGCCACATGACATAAATTTCTTTTTTAAAAACTACCTTCAAACTTCTCTTTCTACATAAATTTCCTTCATCACAAAATGCTTTTCGTAGACCTTATAGATGTCTAACTGTATAAACTCAAAACAATGTAGACCGTTTCCACATGAAGAAAATGTGGAACAAAAGCTGATGTACTTCTTTCTCAGTACCTTATTAAAGCAGTATCAATCAGTCACTGTCTATGTAGAAAGGGTAATGAAGAAGAGTTAGTTACTTCCAATTCCATATCATACTTATTATGTTAAGATGCTGACATTTAGTGAATCACTGAGCATCCAGACAGGAAACAAAGTTTAGCATAAGGAAGAAAATATTAGTCCAGATATCAGAAAACCTGAAAAGAAGCTGAGGCAGCACAGATGGAGGTACTGGTTGCAGATGTGGGGAAAGAGTGAACAGGTGAAAAGATGAACTAGTTGGCTACCTCAGAAGCTGGGTATGAACTCTGATCATGACATTTTACTAACGTGTACCCTTGGCTTTTTCTAAGCACTTTCACCTTCCTGTGTATGTATTTTTGATCCCTCTCAAAGAGTTTTCAAAAAACATCTCTGCTTCTTTCTTCATTCCTTCAGTTTGATCAGAACATTTTAATAAACAACACAACCATACATGTCAGTAAACAGTGACTCCTTCCCACAAGTATTTCTCCCTTAAGTCCTAAACTGGCTCTAAATTTAGGGGAGGGAGTACCTACAGAGATTATAAAAACCTCTACAACAGGTTTGTTTGAACACAGCACTCCACACAAAAAGAGAAGCACTGTTTTCACTTGTTCCTGCCAGGAGCCCTACAGGCCCTCTGTAATAAGCCATCTGTTTTTAGGTTTCCCATCATCAAGGGTTCAGACCAAAGTAGTAGGTTAGAAATCATTCCTTTCCAAATTTTGCAAATTACCAGCACATATTTATAACTTGAGCATAAGTAGTTCCTTCCTAAGGAAAAACCAACTATAACTATCAAGAGATGTGAAAGAGAGTTAACTTGGGGGGCTCTGGTCCACTTGTTAATGTACAGACCCAAGACATTTCAAGATGGAAGAATAAGAATTTCAATGAGTTTCCTACCAGGAAGCAAGTGTAAGTCTTATATCCTCAGACATTAAGGAAAACAAGAACTGTTGAAAATTCACTGAAATTAAAGTTCATAGATTCATGTGTACAGGCCTAGACTTCAAGGAAATAAGAGTACATATAAATATTTCTGAATGTCGAATACTGACACATTTTTGAGGAAAATTTTACTTGGATCACATGTTGTGAGGCTACTGAGTTAAGAGATAGTCCTGAAAAAATATTTGTTTAGTAAAACCCAAAATTAAGGTCTCAAATTAAATGAAAGCCTTTCCTATCAACCAACTGCTTCATTTGCATATATGGGATCCAGAGCAATAGCAACTCTTTACATGTGTTAAACACATAAAATGTTGTCTTTAGATTGCTCCTGGGGTTGAGGCTGATGGCGACACCCCCACGCTCAAGAATAGAAAACAGTGCTTTCTCTATCACTTCATGCTCAGTTATGACCTGTCACGCTGACCATTTCTCAGTGAACTTGAAGGGCTACATAATAGAACATTTACGTCTTTTTGAAGGCCCTATTAGGAGGTACAAAGACAGAGTCATACCTCCCGCTCCAGGTATGATTTCAGGGACTCCGTCTCATTGAGCAGAGTGACACTACATTTGCCTCTAAAAAAGAAAAGAAATAGTATTTGAGGAAAAGAAATATGACCATACAGCAACAGTGGTGTATGTAACTGATTTTGATTAAGGAAAAAAGTCAGCTCTATTTTGAATTCCTACAGTCATTACCTGATGTGCGTGGCAGGTAGAGACTCCAGCTGCCGAGACAGGAACAATTCTCGGTGTCTTAGCTGATGCTTAAGTTTCTCTGGCAAATCGACCATTTCTGGATTTTCCATTTCTTCTTCCATTTCCCCTGAAGGAAAGAATTTAAGATCACTAAGATACTACTGCCAGGTCCCTCCTGACCAATCAGAAGGCACAATACATGACTCATCTAAACAAAATCACAGGATTGAATCATAGCCTCCTACACTTATTATCTCACCTAGCCCCATATATAACTGAGCAGGAGGAAAAGCCCAAAATTTCTGTATTCCAGGGTTAAAAATTACAAGCAGAAAACATGACATATTAGCTGAAGACACATGAAAATGGTGCTCAAGGAAAAAGCAAATTGCTAAAAAGCAAACAAAACTACCATGATGACCTTAGCAGTAGCAGAACCCATCAACAGTCAGAGGTAGAAGACGCTAGAGGTCACTGGTACCTTCCTCACATACTTCTCCCCTTTTTTCCAGACATATTTAGAGAATTCTTGTCCTCACATGGTTATTACACATATCCACAAATGTACTAAGAGAACAGATCTGGGCATACTACATAAAAGCACTGATGGGCTTATCAACACAGATGGAGGTCAGGAGTCAGGCAAGATTGTGCCAAAGAAAAACAATATAGTTCTGTGGAACTCCTGAATTGCTTAATTAGATTTAACACTCATTAATGAAGAAACCACCAGGCCTACATGTGAGGGATATCAAGAGTGAACTGTGGCCCTAAAACTATTAGGTTTTAGAAGGCAACAGAAATCAAATAACCAAAAAAGCCCTAATAGGAAAATCTAAGAGATTAGAATCAAAACAACCATGAATACTGAAAGAAATCACAAACTTCCCAAAACAAGTTTAATCCTGACAGCCAGCTGAATTAACTACCTGACACATCAGATGAGGCCCAAAGACAGAGCAGCAACTCTGAGGCCATGGAGGGGGGCACAAAAAGAAAGCAGCATGGAGATGAACCATAATGATGAAGGCCCAAAACACACAGACAGCAGCCAACAAATCCATTACAACATGAGATGCTATAATGGATAAAATGTACCAAAGGGGAAAACAGAAGGATCTTGGGCAAGCAGAGACTAGAAAATCTTTGTAACTCCACTTTCTCTTACTTGAACTTGAAAAACAAACATCTCACCTATATAAGTAAGGCTCTAAACCTGAACAGAATATTGAGAGCTAGCCTCAAGTGGTTCCAAAAGAGTAGCAAATCAGAAACTAACCAGAGGCTTTCCATAACTCATGTTTTCCAGCCACTCTGCAGAGAAGAATGATAATCTGGTGGTAAAGAGAATTTTTCAAAAGGAAATCCAGCCAAAGGCCTAATTACCTCTGGCTCATCTTCTTTACTGAAATACACAGTTGTCACTTTACTACTCATTTAAGGCTGCAGATAGCAATAAGGAAAGGATCTATGTTTTCTTTATACCTAGTTCCTTCCTCCCTAACTCTACCGGCAGTCAAAGGTAAAAGGAAGCAGCATGCAAGCAGGCTGTTTATTCTTTTAAAGCAATCTTTTATTCTCACCAGGAAATAATTCTGCTTATTTTGGCGTATTTTACTCTATATATCCTTCTCCTTTCCCCCTCCCCTTCCCAGGGACAGATATTAATAACATCCAAGCTAAGTGAAAATAAACAGAAAAAAAATTTCCTCACAAAGAAAAATCTCTTTTCTTACCTTCCTCGTCGTTTTCTCCCCCTGGTCCGGTTTTATAGTAGACTGACAATGCTATATAACAGACAAACACCACCCATTATGGCAGAGGTTAAAGAGAGAGCTCGTTATGTACATTTGACTTTGGTTGTGTGTATCTAATAACACTGTCTACCTTTCCAAAATACACCCAAAAGAAACCTACACCAGCAGCCTCAGTTGAGCCTTAAATAACATCAAGAAAAGATATCTGTGACTTTGGTATGACAGAGGTATAATGGATAACTAAAGGCTTTATTTCAATGCACAGTGTCAACATAATCAAGGAGAAAAAAAAACAGTAGTTGAAAGATTAAGGTATATGACAAGGGGCATACCTACTATTTGTAGATATGAGACAACCTCATCTGTCAAGCACACCGTGTAGAGGATTCCTATTTAATCACAGAAAGGATTAGCCAACCTCCAAGATTCTTTCCAATTCTGAGATTCAGTAATTCACTTAGGTGGCGGTGTAGATATAACATTGGACTTGGATCAAATTCCGCCTCAGATACTTACTAGCTTTGACACCTTGCACAATCTACTTAACCTGCCTCCCTCAGTTGCCTTATCTATAAAATAGGGATACTAATAACCCCCTATCTCCCAGGGTTGTTCTGAGGATCAAATGAAATTATATTTGTATAGCACTTTGCAAACCTTAAAGTCTCTATATAAATGCTAGCTATTGTGATTACTGGTATTAATATAGAAACCAAAATAAGAAACAAAGGCAAGAAACTCCAGTATCTCCTAGTGGCTATTCAGCTATTTCTTTAGCCAAAAAGGAGAGATTCTAACCAAAAGACTGGAAAAGGAAACAAATTGTAGGGCAATGGTCTATTCAGTCAATGACATAGAGGATGCATAAGACATAAGTTATATTAAGAATGAGCCAAAAACCATAGAAGTGTATGTCCAAAGAGGCTAAACAATAAGACTTCAGTCAAATTTAGGTAAACATAGCCAAGGATTGTGCTGGGGAAAACTCTCTGCAAACTGGAAGAGGGTATTGTGTACCAAATGCGCTGAAGTAGACATGAATGAATGTTTTGCTGTGACTGACTTTACTAGATGCTTCTTGCTTTGATAGTGGATCTTCAAAGGGCTTGTTAAAGAGCAGAGAGGGCAAGCTGCTCATTTCAGAGAAGAGAAATAATTTTATTAAATAGACCAAATAAAAATCAAATAAATTTTATCAAATTTTTTTTCTAAAAAATCACAAAAAACATAATAAAGAAGTAGCAAATTAGATTTTTTATTCCTGTCCACCATATTATGCAAACCAAATGCTAGCCAATCCTCAGTTGTTTTTCACCAAACAGTATCCTAGATTTCTAATGGTTCCCCAGAGAATGCAAGTATCACCTTATGGTTTCCCTATGAATTAAGAAAGCTCACCGACTGCACATAAGAACATTCTGTAACACCACCATACTTTTGTAGAAAGAGAGGGGCAGGGAGAGAAAAGGCAGAGAGGAACTAGAAAGAGAGGTGACACTCTGACAGTAATACAGTCAGAGAACATTAGGGATGTGGTTCAAAAAAGAAATTTCTTTAAAGAAAGTTACGAAATGACCCCCTTAAAGAAGCCAAGAACTCCCTCCAAAAGTTTTCACTACATAAAAAAGCTAAAACCATTAAGTAATCAAATCCTGTGTATTGAAAAGGATGGTAAGAACGAAGATATTTAGGGAAAAAATTGAGACTTCAAAAAAAAATTTTTTTTTTAAGGACAAGGATGGAGTCAGAGGGAAACTATTTATTTCCTTGCTTAATTTAATTTCTCCTGAAATGAAAAGGTTAAACCATGGCATTCAATATAGGGTAGACTCTTGGTTATCCAACATTTAAGTCTTCATTTCAGCAGTTTTCAGGGCCCTGTGGCAGGAAATACAAAAATTGAATAAAATGCAGGCTTTGCCCTCAATTGCTTACAATTTTCAATTTTCCCATTCCTGGTACTATTTTCTAGCTAACAAGCAGAAATGAAAGCAACATCAACTTGCAATAATAAAAACCATCAAAGACTTGGGAAACAAACTAGCTAGAAATAAATATGTGACCTGCATAAGCACTGCAAGCTTATAATTGAAATAAAGACCTAAATGATTGGAAATATTTTCAGCATTCATGAACACCTAGATTAATATAGTAAAAATGATAATACTTCCCAAATTAATATTTCTTTAATGCAAAACTAATCAGAATACCAAGGGGTTTCTTCACAGACAAGGATAACATCATGATGAAGTATATGTGGAAAAAGAGGTAAGAATATCAGCCCTTCCTATCTTTCCTCCTCTCCCCCCCCACAAAAAGCCAATAAAAATGATCTTGCATTCCAAGACTTAAAATACATTATAAAACAGTTAATATCAAGACTACTATTGATACTAGTAGGCAAAAATAAAATCAACAGGTCAATAGACTAGAACCAAGATGCCTGCCCATTCAACCAAATATATAACCACAAACTGATTCAAAAATAGTTAACACTTTAAGTTTTGCAATACATATACATTTTCTCCTCACAACAATATTGTGAATTAACACTAAAGTTATAATTATCCCATTTTTACAGATGAGTAAACTAAAGCTTACAGAGTTCAAGTGGCTTGCCAACAGTCACAAAGTTTGCTAGTTTAAATAAATAAATGATAAAATAACATTAACAAATGTTGACTATTTCAAAATGTTGCAGTTTAAATGTGGCATTCGAACTAAGGTCCCTCCTGAGCCTTGGGAAGATGCCCTTTCCATGATAACCATAAAAAAAGAAAAGTCAGAAAAAGGAATTAAACAACCATATTTGGGAAAATTGGTTACCAGTTAAGTGGAAATATATTTGGATTTACATTTCACACTATAAATCTCACTGTATTCCAGATGTATGATATGGTTTGGACATGACATCAATTTTCCATTTGCATATGCTTTTATGCTGGTAACTAATCCGTACAAACCAGGCTAAAATCTCAACAGTGGCTATGTATGAAACTTCACAAATTCATAACCGAAAAGTTTCAAGAATGCCCTAGCCCCCTCATCTATTTTAAGCTGCTAAAGGCTTTGCTCTCTTTCTGAAATACCATGTTAAACAAAACATTTACTACTTTATGACCTAAGGCAAGGCATTTAACCTCGCTGGACCTGAGCTTCCATCTGTAAAATACAGGAGTTAAATGAGAGATTGTCTGGGGTCCCCTTCAGCTATAATCACAAGAGATCTCTTACTGAAACTACCTTGGCCCCAAACACCTAAAATTTCCGTTTCATTGACCTTCTTCCCCCCTCTACTCTTCTTAGACTTCAGCCCTCAGAATTATGCAAAAAGTTTGCCAAATAGATTCTTCTGAACACAAGCCAATGATATGCCTTAAAATGCTTTTAATTCACATTCCCTCCCATCATCGTCAGTTCGACCTAGTCCCCTTCAAATTCACATTTTTTGGCTTCAATGGTCTTCAAAGTACTTGGAGCATCATGCCAATTTCCAGCCAACTTAAGGCAAATACTAAGATTTCTACTAAAATACTGCTTTTTGCTGACCTATGGAAAGCTAAGTGAACTTATCTGCTTAATTATTCTGAAACACCGCCTTGAGCTATATACAACTGCAGAGAAAAGGTAAGGTTTTTCTTTTCCTTCAACTAAGATATAAAAAAGAGATAGCCTGAAAACTCTGAAAGATCAAGGCACCTAATACGGCAAGATCATCTTGAAAGATAACTCCAAACCAGTCTTTGGATCTTTCTTGATGTCTGATCCCTACCCTTGAAAACAGGGAAATAGGGAAGAAACAGAATAAACTCCAGAGGCAGTGGTACAGTGATTGAAGCTCTTACCTCAGGTCTATCTCAATCAAGGAGTATGGGAGGGAATATCAGCCAGCCTCATGGCATATAGACGGAATAGTGGATTTGGATCACTAAATTTGGAGTCACGCAGACCTGAACTCAATTCTTACCTGAGACAGTACCTATATAGCAATGGACAAGTCACTTACCTCTCAGCTTTAACTTCTCATCTGTAAAATGTGGATAATAATGACATCTATCTCAGAGGTTTCTTATAAGTATAGAAACACTAGCTATTACTAATCTTACCATGGGATATGGGGTACATGTTGTGCCTGGAGAGGATACTGAATTAAAAGTGCTGCTTCATAGAAGAAATTTTAAAAGTAAATATACAAACCCTCTGGGTTATGAAATCATGAAGCACAGAACATGAATGTGGGCACTAAACAACTGTCTAGGGTTTCCAAGATGCAATGCAACATCTGCTTCAGGTCCATGGTAGTTTTATTTACATATTAAAAAAAACCCTAAATCTTCCAATTAATAACAAATGCAATGAATTAAGTATATGTCAAGCACTAAGCACTGGGAATACATACATAAAGAGCATACATTTCTCACCTGGCTGCACCTCTTTGGTCTTCTCGTTCATTGTTGCCAGGAATCTCATAAGTAGGTACCCCATACACTTCTGATTGGAGGGTAGGAACAAAAATTCCAAAACCTCTATTTAGGGAGGGGGCCCAGGCCAGCCATCTCTTCATTTTCCATCCAGATCTTATCCTTAGGACTTCTTTGGACTTATCCATCACAGCTTTACCTTCCTCCCCACCCCCTTTCAGCTTTTCTTTGGTATGCTTATCTCTATCTGCTTATAAGTTTCTTGAGGACAGATACATATTTGTATCCCTAGTGCTTAGCACTAGTCAAAGAGGAGCTGGCACATAGCTTAATAAATGTTTACTGACTGTCTGATTGATAATTATAGTGGAAAACAATAAGCATAAGGGAATGATGACTAAATATGGACACTTAGGTCCATAAAATTACAAGGATGCTGACTAGGGTTATGGGGGAGTAAACTGAGTCAGCCCTTATAGGAAAAATGACAGTGCTGATTTGATTATGGTTCCAGAATTAGAAAGCAGGGTTGCAGAGACTATGGATGGGGATTTGGGAGTGAAGAGAAGCATGGCTGTGTGAGCTGCCTGAAATAGTGGGCCAGATGAC